GAGACTTGAAATTTCTCAAGTGACCTCCTCTCAACAAAACAAAATTGAAGGATATTTCAAGTACAGTGGTGTAATTAATACTTTTATTGATTCTAATATAGCTATTTAGTACTTTAAAAGTTGTAAGTAATTCTGTTGGTAGATGTTAATGTTCATTCCTATGACAGAACTCTATTGATTGAGTTCCATTTTTTGTTCCTAATTTGAACTAATTCTAGTTTACTATTTGTGCAAACAGTCAACATAAGCTAAAGAGATAAAGAACCAGTACAATCACCTCGTGCAAACAGTGAGGTTGAAGTGTAACTGCTCCAGAAATTCTGTATTTTGGTTTTACAATGAGTGTTTCTATAAGAAATTGCTTTTCTTGTTTTTATCTACTGTGAAGACAGTAATTTTAAGACGGTCTTCTTGGTCATGGGATGCTGTGTATGGGGAAAAAACTTACACATTTTGGGTTAGTGATTTTTTTTTCTTTGTAACAAAACCAACAGCTTTAATGGAGATCTAGTATGTCTTATTTCCTCAATAGAAAACATAGATACATGAACAGCCTTGGCTAAGCCTAAAAATATTCCATGAATTCCTGAAGTTTCAGCCTGAAAGATCATGCATTGAACCTATTTGAAAACAAAATAAAGTAACTATGGAGCTTGGTATTACTATTCTTGGTCATATTTCAGATTATAACTGTATTATGCAGCATGGTTTTCAGAACCATACATAAGAAATATTTGTTCTGGTTTTGAGTTAAGGTATTAGAGCTGTTCCCCCCCAAATCCCTATCTGAAAGAGATTGTTTCTTCTCTTCTGTGTAGTACACTTACAAAGTAAAAGCAAAATAACAGAGCAAGCAACTATAAACATTTACAACTACTTTTTTTTTTTTTTCCCTGAAACAAATGTGGGAATATTTTCATTTATCCCTATTCTTCTAGTCACAAAGATCTAACATTGAGGGTGTGGGGGAATGAGAAGCAGAAAAAAGTATCTTTGAAAGGCAAGTATTTCAATAGCTGTCTATCATCGAGAGCAGTGGGTTTGGCTTGTTAATTCATTGCATAATACAACATCTAAAACTGGTCCAAGTTTACAGTATGTCTGCCACAAATTGGACTTAAGTGGTCTGTTATCATGCACTGTAATCACATTATGATGTTTGATAGGTTTGGGGGTTAACAATAAATGATAAGGTTGGTATTTGGTTATTGTGTATTATGGGCTCTCATAAAGAAAACCTGGACATGGGTAGCTTTGATACATAGCAAAATATTTTTAGATGATGTGAGAAATACATGTTTGTCTTCACCTTAAGTAGTTTTCTGTACCTTTCTACAAGATGAATAATTACTGAACATTAGAGCCTTGCCTCAGGTTATGCGGTTATTAATACAGAGTGACCCATTGTCTTTATTACACCTATTCTATGAGTCACTGTTGTAGTTAAAATATTATATTGAAGTCGTTCAACTCCCATTCCATTTGGGCACTGTTACATGTAGGCTAGGGGTTGTTTTGCCTTTCCTCAATTAGTCTTCTACAAAAACTTGTCTCCTTGTATAAATCTTATTTAGAAGGGCCATCAAAGCGTGGCTAACCCATTATCCTAAACTGGCAATAAAACAACATGGTATATGTTCACTGTAAAAATGTTCTCTATGTATTTGAAATGCAGAATCTGACCTATGATTTAAACAGTAATTTAAATCTTAATAGGTCAGAGTGTGCTTGCTATGGGTTCTTTTCAAAATGTTGATTCAAAACATGAAAGAGGAAATTAAATGGGTGAGCCAGTACATACGATGCCTGTGGATTACTGGTGGCAGTAAGGAGACTGGCATAAAATGGCTTTTTCCTGGTGCACAGCATACAGGGAGTCTTTGGGGGAGAGAAAAATAAAATGTTAGAGGTAGTCGCCGATATCTAAAAATACAGTCTTCTAGAGCACTCTAAAATAAACTCGTAAAATAATCCAGCACAAACTATTTAGAAGGAGATGCAGTTGTTAAAGTTCTCTTCATTTCAGGACGTGTTTTGGCAGTATTCTTTGTAATAAAGATGAAAAAAACCCCTGTTTCTAACCAAGCAGTGAAAGCCAAAAGACTGGAAGGCCGCAGTCAGCTCAGGCGGTTGCAGACAGAAACAGGCGGCTCTGAGCGTCAGGCTTTCCGCTCCCGAGGCACCGGGGGACGGCCGCTGGGGCAGTCCGTGCCCGGGCTGCTCAGGCGGTTGCAGACAGAAACAGGCGGCTCTGAGCGTCAGGCTTTCCGCTCCCGAGGCACCGGGGGACGGCCGCTGGGGCAGTGCGTGCCCGGGCTGCTGGGCCCTGTCGGTGCCCAGGCGTTAGCTCAGCCTGCGGCTTTGGCAGCCCAGCCTCGCCACCGGCCCCTCACACACGGAGAGCAAGCTCCGTCTGACAAGGATAAAAACCTGCAAGGGCAGTTATTCTGAGGGCCCTTCCAACACTCACCCTGAATTTCTATCCAAATAGCTTTCTGGCCTGCGTAGTTAAAACAAAGCAAACCTTGTAAATTTATTTACATTTCTTGATTCTTTTTTTCTTGATTTCTGCTAACACCATTTTCCTTTTGAAGTTGCAGGTAAGCGTTTAGTAAGCTTTTCTAATTTTAAAAGCCCATTACAGTCTAAAATGTATCTTTTCAGTAGAGTTTGAAACGGAAACACTGTGTTCTAAAGTGCGCTAACTTCTACAGCCTCTAAAGCCAAGGTGGCTTACTCATGTCCCTTACTTCAAGTGTTTATGTAGCTACACTGTATTTACTTTTCTATTGCTATAGTAATTAGTTGCTCATATGCACCCCTCACTACTCATAGTTTTTATACTTCTGTAGTCATCAGTGACTTTAAATAAGAACAAAAAAAGGATAGCACGCTGTAGGCTGTAAAGGACTTGGGGGGGATGGGGAGGTGAGGGGGACTGACCCAAAAAACAGCACCCCTCTGTCTCTTCCATCTACCATCCTGAGTGTGAACTCCTTTTTCTTGCTAGTCAATGGGCTGACTGTATTGATGTTGTATTTTGATTCCTTCTTCCAAGTCTCCTGTAGCCTGCTGTGCAAAGAGGTGTCAAGGTGGGGATTGGGGCACGAAGAGGGATTCCTGGAAAGTCAGGAGACATGCGCATTTTTCTTCTCAAACTGGCTCATGTTTCCCCATGAACAATAATGCAGCCCTGCATTTTACATTATTTAAAGATCTGCTATGTCATACTGCGTCACAGGACAGGAGATATGGTTCTTATTTCAAAGAAACTAAATGAGAAACTAAAATTTTGAGATGCATTCCCATAGGGCCTTTTTCAGGTTATGACATTTATGCTATATGGGAGGATTACCAAATGACTACCATGCACTATGGGGAGACAGGTTTTGTTGGCTGGGGAGATGTTGAGAAAGGACATAGTAAGAAGGATCTCATGAAAAGCCCTGTCATTTGTTTCATTTAGCCAATTTTTTTAATTCTTTGCACCTTTTGGAAGCATTTGTGTGCTCCTGAAGGATCTGAAGTGTTCTACGATGGTGTCTGCTGACTAACTCAGGAGGGTATCTCAAAGAATATGAAAACAAGACTTGTAGCATGTTGAACAGTTAGGGCATCTTATTTTTTTGCCACCCCCCCCCCCTTAAAAAAGGAAGCTGAGAATCACAGAAGATGGCAAAGAGGAGGGGCCGCACAGAGCAGTCCCAGCAGTGACTGCCAGTGCTATGTTATCAGAATTGCAGAGCTGGGTGCAGCTCTGAAAGGCTTCCTGTGCATCAGGACAGTGCCATTGCTGCCTGAATACTGCAGGCACCTGTGTGGCAAACGCCTCCCGGTGGGATCACTGGAAGGTTAGCTGAGGAACAGATGGATTCCTGGGCAAGGCTTGCCACTGAGCCAGCTGTGGACCTGAACCTGCCCTCCTGCTGTGGAAACGGGATGACAGTAAAACACACCTCCAGTTCAGGCTGTCAGATGTGACACAGTTTGGGAATCTGATCACGGCCCCAGCATTTCCCGTTTTTATTTTTGTAATGGTCCCGGTTGAGACCCTCTCTACAGGTCTAATCTGGGTGAAGTCAAACTGGGCACTTCCAACTCCTCTTCCCAGCAGAGTGTTGCAATCACCCAGGCAAGGCTGGCACTCACGGGTGTGTCAGTGCCAGCGCCGAGGGGCGCGGGGACGATGTGGCATCTGTCCAGGGCAGGATGATGTGGCTGCCCGCCTACAGGGCAGGGCCGCAGCAGGCACAGTTTACATTGGTTTACACGTAGAACCACACCCAAAGCACTGAGGTATTTTTCCTCTATACCCTCCTAAAGCAGAAGGAAACAGTCCAGCTTTTAACTGCTCACAGCCAAGAGTAAGCTGTGTAACTCTGTGCTGCAGACAGCAGAGTGCAACAGGCATATTTGGGATGAGAAGTCTGCTGCTTCTTGGGTACTGGTTAATGCTGTACAGTCAGGCTGTAATCTCTGATAAAACAGCCTGGAAATTAATCAGCACATGTATCTGCTCTGTTTAAGCAGGTGTGTTGTGAATGAATGTGAAAGGTTACTTTGTTAATTCTGAAGGTGCAGTTAGTTAATAAACAAATTTTCAGACTAAAAAATGGATGGCAACTATTTGGATAGCAACAACTAGAACTATCTCTAGTTCTTGTGTGCTATTCTCTGACTTGGCAAGAAAAGAGGATGTTACTAAATCAATATGAGCTATTCTGGAGAGAAGGAAATATTTATTTTGTCTGGCACTCCATGTCCCTCTTGCATAGCAATGTACAATTAATTATTCTTCAACCACTTCTTAGTTCGTCTGCGGCCAGATCTAGTTTATTTATTTAAACTGCTGCAATGAGCAACTGCAAGGAATTTCCTATCCCTCTTAAATATATTCTAATTAATAAACATATTAGTTAAATGTATTTTATTACTGCTCTTTGTTAATTAACTTCAGGACTCTATGAAAGAAACAAATATGGTTGTATGTTTATCAACAGGCCAAGTTCTTGTAGAAATTTCAAGAACACACAAGAAACTTAATGACAGTCTAGAGGAGAGTGTAAGTTAATATCTTTTAAAAATTTATTTCCCATTTGAAATTATAAATTATTTTTGCCAATTTTTAATAACCCTTCATTTGTTTTTAAAGTTCAAAAAATTTCATAAAGAAATTATATCTGAACTGGAGAAGAAAACAGACCTGGATGTAAAATACATGAATGTAAGTACATTCCATTTTTGTCTATTGCTAGTCAAAGAATTTTTCAGAACCTGGTTCCTAACAATTAATTAATCAATAAGTTAGAATTGAGCTTTAGATATATAAATATGGCCAAAATGTTCATGCTTATTTTGAGTTAAAAAAGGAACCAATGGATGGCTTACTGTATTTTTAAGCTAAGGCTGAGAAAGGCAATTGCTGGACTCATTTGATGTGTATTAGCTCTATCTCAGGGTGATGCTCTTTACTCACTTACCCAGGTACATGGCTGAGTGCATTATGAGATGTTTGAAATGCTTTGCTTGCAGGCAACTTTAAAGAGGTACCAAACTGAACACAGAAGTAAATTAGATTCTTTAGAGAAGTCTCAGGCTGAGCTGAAAAAAATCAGAAGGAAAAGCCAAGGAGCACGGAATGTAATGAAATACGAGCATAAAGAAATGGAGGTCAGTGTATTGTCTCTTCTTCGTGTCTTTCTTTCTGTGAGAATTGATCAACAGAAAATGTTAACTCATTACAGGTCACATTGGAGTCTGGTTTAAAACTCACCTTGTGAAGCTCACCACAATATCTGTATATTCAGTGTTATTAATTAATACACGTAACTCCTCTGTAAGGTGTTTGGCAACAGTTAAATTTTATGATTTCGAAGAACATGCATTTTTGGTTTCTCAGTGTTGGTTTATATTAAAGGCACTCCTGTAGTATGTGTTCCACTTGAAATTAAGCTCTGGGCTGTTCTGCTGTACGTACTCAAACTTTCCAAGTTTCATCCCTTGGCCACTACTTGGTATTTTCATTTATTTCTTTTTAAAGTGCCTCTGTAACAACACCTTTGTGCAGAGGTTTACACAGGGAGACAGCTATGCTATGCAAATTCAGTAGTAATTTGCTATAAATTAATTTTCCAAAGTAGGCAAATGCCAGCTTCTGACTTATGACCCTTCCTACTGCTCTTGAAGCAGCATTGCCATCGTGAGGCGAAATAAGAAATAGCAAGGCAACGAAGAAAAACTATTTTAAATAGTAAGTCATATTCGGATTGTCATGTATCTCTCAGAGAATACTTGCCATTGATATTTTTATTTCAACAATACTTTTAGCTTATAGGTGGGTTTTCTCCATATTTTTCTATTTTGATTTTCTTTTCAAAGGAAGCTTTGTTTATAACACAGTACAGTAAACATAAATAGTACTAGCTCCTATTTGTTACTACCTGTCTTTTTGTCTGCACGTCTACCTACCTTTTACCTATCTTTGACTACCTATCTTTTAATCTGTAACAATTCTTTTTTAAGGTATTGGACTAAGAATTCAAGGATTAGCATTTAATCACAGTTTAGCCATGAATCCTTATAACCTCAGACAAACAGAATTTAGTCTTTCAGTAACTCATTTTTCCCCTCTCTCTAAAATGAAAAAGAGATTTGTGATATAGCTTTGTGGGAGTGAAGGTAACTGCTGTGGAGCAAAGGTAACTAGTCTCATTAGAGCACCTTGGGCCTTAAAATTGCTCAGCACAGTTGCTGCTGTGATGGCAGTCTTGTTTACTGCAGCATTTTATTTAGAGCCTAAAAGACTGTTTCTTGGTTTGCTTCCCTTCAGACAGCCCATTGATTACCTGTCAGTAGGATGTACATGTACCCATTGAGGACAGGGAAGGTGGGTGTGTGCTTGAAAAGAGAGACTTGGAAGCAGAGCCACCCTATCCCACTCTGCCTTTCCAAAAACTTCTTGTAAGATTTTCACAGTTTGCTTCAGTAATTGGATGTAGTATCAAATAAAATTTAGAGAATGTTATTTTTTTCCTTTTTTTCCTTAGTATTTGGAAACTGTGAGCTCTCGACAGAGTGATATTCAGAGATTCATTGCAGAGGGCTGCAGAGAAGCTCTCCTTGAAGAAAAGAGGAGATTCTGTTTTCTGGTTGACAAGCACTGCAGCTTTACCCAGCACATGCACTTCTATCACATCCAGGTCAGTGGCATGTGTGTAAACAGAAACAAACCTCCTGAGGTCCTGTCATGTGGGAGATCAGAGTGCCAGGATAGCCAGGATAGTGTTTGGGAACACTGCAGGGCCAGGCAAGTGCTGTGACCGGTTCACAGAAAACCATTATCACCCAATGCTCTCTTAATATGTTGTAGCAACAGTAATGGGTTACTGTGACTTGTTAAAAATCATATATTAAGAAAAAGAGGTATGGACTGATCAGGTATTTGCAGTATCTGATCCTGAAAAGGGACAGTCTCATTCTACAACATACTTGTTTCAAAGAGGCATTACTCACAAAAATCTTTGAGAAGACTTCCATTTTGCTGGTGTTATCATTTTGCTATAATACCTAACAAGCAAGTCTATGCAGTTCTGTGAAAAAGCCCATCTTTGACAAGTACCTTTTGGATGCAGTGTGCGGACTTCCTAAAATCCAAGCTGCCTGGGTGGCAGGAAATCTGTAGCGATGCCACCAAAGTGCCTGAAAAAGTCAGAATGATGATAGATGAGATAAGGACACCTGGTTCCACTCCAGTATCCGGAACTCCACAGCCATCACCAATGATAGAGAGAAATACCATGGTACGTAGTTCTTTGGTGGTTAAAGGTTCTCTCTCTTAGCTGGGAACAGAGTGGCTTCACTAGCTTCTTTTGTACCTAAGCATTTGGGATCAAGTCTATGATGTACTTCAGCTGGGATGCACTGGGGTCAAGCATGAAAGCAAAATCATTAAGCGGAAGCTCTGCTACTGGAAAAATGCACAGTATAGTAGGCAGAGGCACATGCCCAACCAAGGGTGTCTTCAGCTGGGTGCCTAGCACACTTCCTGCAGAGCCCAGCCTCAGGACTTTTGTTCTAACCATTCTGTTCCCTGTGTTCTCATCTGTTCCATTCCCTATGTTCTTGTCTCTAAGTACTAGTAATTACATGCTCAGTAGTTCAATGTAAACTTAAAACGTTATTGTCTTTTTTCTTCTTTCCTCCATAATCTTATTAGCTTGTTAGAGTACAGGTTAAATTCTAAGTTCTACCCACTTGTGTGTTGTGTCACCACTAGTTGTTGAATTTCTACATTATATCAGTAAACTTCTAATAAATAAATTTGGAGATTATCTAGGTGTAACTGTGCTATCTGTGGGGGGAAAAAAAAAGGCTACTGTAACATTCCTACTAACAAATGTTTATCAAGTGACATAAGTCACTTACATATTATTATATCAGCAATTTTGTAGGAGCACGAAGTCTTTCTGATGAATCTAAAGATGTATCATTTGGGAATATTTAAGCATTGTTTTCCAGAATTAAACATTGCAAAAAAGTTGTCCCTGTCTCTTCAGTATTATGATACTGTTGTCTTTGTGAGTCTAGATTGGAAGTGATTTTTATCCTCCCCACGACAACGCAGGGAAGGTGCCCCCTGCCCCTGCAGGCAGGGCGTACACCAGCCCGCTGGTTGACATGTTTAACAGTCCTGCAACGGCTCCAAAGGCATCTTCTGAAAAACTACAGCGCCCAGCAGGTGAGGGCTCTTGGCTGAAAACTATGGAAGTGTAAGTGACATACTGTAGTGTTCAAAACTATCGTAGGACTTCTTGACTAGTGTAATGATGTGAATTTCAGAACATACAGAAGAGCAGAAAATGGTCGTTACAAAGTATTTATATAGAGAAATACGTGTTATAAGAAGAGATTCTACTATAATCACTTTCTGTGTGTCCCTGATTAACACATCTTAACTGCTCTTACTACTTCCAATCTTATCAGGAGAATACATTCTGTAGCTTTGAACAAAATTTGAGTGATTATTTCAGTGCACACAAATAAACATGAACTGCTAGGACAGTCTTGCTTTGCTCTCCTTTGAGAGCACGTAGCTGCTATGGACGAATGGGTGCACAGGACAAAAATTACCACAGCCTTGTATTTCTTGTCTGAAATGCAAAATCCTGTTAAGATTTGTTTTCTCATATTTTTTTTTTTTTTTTTCTTACTTACTCCTGCTCTAGGGAAGGAAAGAATTAAGCCTAGACCACACATAAGAAATGCAGAACTCTTCAATGTGAAATACCAATTCCAGCATTTTTTCTTAAAACCATTTACAATATATTGCACTGGTCAAATAACATGCAATTTTGACACCTCCTTTAAGTTGTCTTCTGGTAAACGTCTGGTGTCTACAAAGTGCCAAGTATCTACAACCCTAATCAATGTAGTTGAAGTTGAGTGCTAGGCACAACTGAAAATCAAATACTGGATGTTATTTACAGTTACTTTTTTTTTAATGGAAAACTTTCAAAGGTTTCTTATGGCTGTGAACATTTGGCAATTTTCATAGTAAAAGAGGAAAGAAGTAGCAAGTTAAAATTACATAACTTTCTATATCTGTTGGTTCAATTTTATTGTGATAAGGAGGATGTGTGTTTATAAATGCACATCCTGTTAACTTCATGGTGATAAAAACTGGCAGATAACTGAGAGGTGTCTAAGTGGTAAACAAAGCAGTACAAAGTCTCAGAATTTGATTTGCACTTGACTATAGCTACTTTTTTCTGTCAGACTACTAATTGTATTTACTTTTATTAGTGTGTGGCTCATTCTGTTGTGGTTTGTTTTTGTTTTTGTTTTTTTTGCTTTGGTTTGTTTTTGACAGAAAATTCAGATGATGCCAGTTTATCACGTTCAACTTCTGTTGCCACAGGACTAAATATAATGAAAAGGCAAAAAGTAAAGACAATCTTCCCACATACTGCTGGAAGTAACAAGACGTTGCTTAGTTTTGCACAGGGGGATATCATCACACTTCTTGTAGCTGAAGAGAAGGATGGCTGGCTTTATGGGGAGCATGACTCAACTAAAGTGTAAGACAATCCATATATACCCAAAATGAACATAAAGAAAGTGTCTCATGAGACCTTGATAGCAGATATTAGTAAATGGTTCTCCACCTTTTTTGCTGGCTGACATTGACTGGGGACTTGGAGTCTTTCTGTAAGGTACATCACCACACTTATTTTGGGGAGATTTTCTACATTAAATTGGTATTATCAGAAATCAGGTCTTCAAAAGTTAAATCTGTCAGTTTGAGTCTGCTGTTCTGTCCACTTCTGTCTTTAGAAAGATCCTTCCAGTTTCACACCATATGAAACTGGAACACTTTCCCGTTACAGAAAAGGATGGTTTCCGTCATCGTACACAAGACCACTAGAAGAAGCAGTGGAAGAAAAAGCATTTGTCCCAGCACCAAGGTAACGTTTGTGTGGGATTTGCAGAAATGCCCAAACCTTCACTAACATTTATTAAAAATGCTGCTTTTCTGCTCATGTTCTTTGTTATGCAGTAACTGAGATATAAATGATTTCTAGCAGTCCATTGTGTGATCCCTTGAAGACATTAACATGTTTTAATGGTTACACAGAGACACCCCAGAACTAGCTTTGCCCCAACTTTACAGTCCCACTGACTTCAAGGGGACTCTGTGCCTTTACTAACTTTCAGCCCATGCATTTTTGTGCTTTCCTGGAGCTAAAGATAAGGGAGAGAGATGTATTATAGGAACTGAAGATGTTACTTGTTGTGTTCTGTCTTCTAGCCCGGCACCAATCCGAAGTATTAGTTCTGTGAATCTTGTGGAAAAAGGTGATGTTGTCCTCCCACCACCAGACTACCTGGGGTCTTTACAAACAGATAAAAGAATGGACTCCCCCAAAGGTACTACTGCTAGAACACCACCTGACAGAGCAGAAAACGCAGGTCCGGTGAGTAATCAATACCACGAGTCTAGATGTTCTGCCCCACTTACTTCTCCTGTCCTACTTAGCTGAGCTCTTGTATGAGTCCCTGGAATATTCTGCCTTAGCTACTTGTACTCGGCTTCAGCAGCCCTTCAATGCAGCTGTCTTCAGAGGGATATCACAGGGTTTGGCATTTCATTCCATCTGCAGTAGGAAGAAGGGAGAACTGTTCAGGGATATAACTAAAGTACTCAGAGAACTACCCTGCGCAGCGAACCTCTCGGGAATGCAATCTGGCAAACATGGAAAAGGGATTCTCTCAGAAAGTAGTACAAATCCATCATCTTAAGTGATTTTAGAACTATAGGGCAACAAGAGATTTAAAGCAACTTAAACTCAGTATTCAGGAATGCTTTACACAACCCCATGAAAGCAAGTGTTGGTTTTGTGGATGTCACTGAGGGATACGTGTACTAAAAACCCCAGCAGAGTGGAAATATGTTTTTATGAATAGATAATACCATATAAAGTTAGTATTTCTGCTATTAAGCCAGTATTCAATCTAATAAAATGAAGCCATTACTACCAATTAGACAATTGTGCTCAGTTGGTTCTGGAGAGTAGTGACCCTAAGGGTTGTTTTGTTTGGTCTGTGGCATTAGTTCAGGACTTTGGGGAGTGAACCTAAAGCTTCTGGACTAACATTCCTGGTGAACTGAAAAATCAAGAGGACTGTCAGATCATTTAGTTGACAGACCAGAAGAGAATTCCAATTAGAACTGTATATTCTCTTTGGAGGCAAGAATGGGCTTATAGCCTCTTAGAAGTAGAAAATAAATACATCTTTTTTAAGATTCTGAATTTCCACAAAGAAGGCAAGATTTAAAAAAACAATCAATTTTGGAGTGTGAAATAATGGCTGCTCCTGTTGAGGTACCCCATAACTCATAGCAGCTACCTTTTTTACTGTGGCCTCAGGAGTCTTCTTACCTGTTACCAAGCAAAGCAAGGAAGAGAACTGTAGAGGAGAGTCACTGCAAGTGCACCCAAGTGTTTTGCTCCAAAGTCACTATTTGCTTTCATTCCTTAAGGAAGTTGTAGAGCTTCCTTATCTTTCCCACTTCCAATGGCAGGTCACCATCCCCAACACCACCATAAGGCTTTGGAAATAAGCCCAACATGATACCAGGCTGATCTGTATTCTTGTACAGAATATACTTATGTGTAAAACACTATGAATGCTTACAGAGTCCTTGGTGCAGAAGCTGGAAATGATTCATTGAGGCATCTTATTTTTGTTTCAGAATACACAGGAAAGATAGCTCCCAGTTTCAGGGAATAAAGAGGAGGAGTGGTTTTTGCGAGTTAAATCGTTCGTGCTGTCTAGGGTAGGACAGTACTGAGCAGGGCAGTAGCAACTCACAAAGACTTAGCTGACAGAGCTTTGGGTGTTTGTGTTGAGTAAGAAGTAGCATTTAATTTGGGTGTTTTTTCATTCTGATTATTTTTAAGGGCTAATCAGGTCCAGTTCTAAGGTCTAATTCTATTTATGGCTGATGAACATGAGCAATTTCATTGGAACTGGAAGTCAAGCACGTGCTTAAGAACCCTGCTGAATTAAGCCCTGAATAGATTTCTTTACCTGCCTGGTGGATTTGTGAATATGGTTGGTAGCTAGCAACTCCTGGTAAGGATCAAGGGTGTACCTGAAAAGGAAAGGCCTACAGGCCTTTGTTCAGCAGAGAAATCTTAACTACTGAAAACAAAAGGGCCATATAGACTGAAGGATTGGTGCAAATCAAGCTGCTACATAAAAGGAGACTGCAAATTCCCACTTCTAGGTGCAAGAATGTATATTCAGATTTTCACTTTGAACTTTTTCTGACACCTGTGACAAACAATGCAATGAGTTTGCAGGTGTCATTTTTAAGTATGATTATTACTAAAAGTAGACACTGTTTGCAAAAACTTCCAGGCAGCACAGCAGAGCAATACTTGGCAGCAGTTTTCTGTTTTATCACACCTGACCCGCTGCAGGCTGTAGTAGCCCAGTGACAGAGTGACACTGTCATCTTCTGGGTTAGCTTGGCTTCACAGGAATGATGCTGCACTTCATCACAGCCATCCGGTGCAAACTGTAGCTGTAAAAGCAACTCCTTTCAGACTGTAAGCTTAGACATGACCAGTTCCTTACAATGAAAGATCTGCAATAGCTACTCAAAACTCTTCCTCCTTTTGTCTCGCTCCCATACAAACAATGGAAGTTCTCTGTGTACGTGCCAGCAGCTGTCGTCTCCCTTTTTTACTCACACCACTACTCCCATGAGGCACAGGAGATACCTGAACTTGTGCCTTGTAAATCAACAACAGCTAAACACAGGGGGTTGTATAAAATAAAACCTCCACATAATACTGATGGGAAAACTGCCCTCACCTCAGGCTCTTTGATATTTCAGCGTGTCATTTTACTGGCTGCTGCCACCTTTAACTTCATGACTTGACGGTTAAATGAAGATACACTGACTGTGTTCACTCTGGAAGATCTGTTCCAGGCCTAGTTTTGGCATTTTGCTGACAACTAGATATTTATAAATTATACTATAGAAATAACATAGTTATGAAACTTGTGCTGCAAGTAGTTCTGTCATTTTTGGTTCATGGCTGTTGGAGTAACATTTAATTTGGTATTTTAACCTATAAAATGCCCAGATAGATAGACCGATCTTAAACCTGGGGGGAATACTACACCAAAAAAACCCAGACCAACTAATGCTAACACCATTTTGGATCTAATTTTGATGTTCTGAGATAATCCTCCTTTCCACAGTTCAACTAAACTACACAATAATTATTCTAAAGAGCTAAATGTTTTAGCTTGTTTGAATGATAGGGTCTCTTTTCCTTAGCAGGATAGCAAGATCACCTGTAGTATGTTGGTGTAAATCTACGTAAATATCTTCTATTTCTTTTACAGAAACCTGATATGAATGGCATTATAAAACCACCTTTTCTAAGGTATGTTTTTTAAAAGCTTTTACACTAATTTAGTTGTGTTGATTTGATATTGGCATGTATTGTTATATTGATTGTGAGGACAAATCAGGATGTTTTCCCCAAATTACTCTGTGACCTTTTCTAGGCACTGGTAAAACATTGACTAAAATTGGCAAACTTTTCTAGAGTGGCATCAAGTAAAACACAACACATAGGCCCTCCTCAGAAAAGTAAGTTTCTTCAGTAGTTTAACAGGGAGCAGAACTTAAACTATGTCTTTGAGGGTTAAAAACAAAAATATCAAAGACTGGGAGCTGTTTGATCTAACTGGGATCTAAACTAGCTAAGTTTTGGATCACTGCAAAGTGAATCTTCATATGGAGGCTTTTTAAATTTTTTTTTTTTTTTTTTTAATTCAGGTTAAACTAAGACTTGCACAGAATCCTTTAGTCTAAAACCATAAATTAGTCTTCAAACAACCAGAATGAAGAAACTGCATGGCTTAAACATGGTTTTGTATTGCAGCAAGCCTTCTAGTAACTTTGTGCATTTCTTTTCAGTGGAGAAAATCCTTTTGCAACTGTGAAACTCAGACCAACAGTAACAAATGACAGATCAGCACCAATTATTCGATGAATATACCGCCCATATACTTGTACTTCCTCCTTAAACACCATTTTCAGTAACAATTGCTATCTAAACTTGTCCTATAAATTTATTTAAGTGTAATTACTGTACAATAGAATCATAATGCGATGGATTTGATTTAATTTTTTTTTAAAACCTTTACTTTCCAATGAGGCAATTGCTTTGGACTAATGTTTGAGCACTTTGGCTTGATTCTACAGTACACTTCCTTTTGTAGTAGCAGTTGTGAAAATACTGGAGATAGTTACACTTGTTCACTAGTGTCCAAACTAACAGCTGACAATCTGAATCTTTGGCATTTGTTATTTTGAAATTGCAATGGTAAGTTCTAGAATATAAGTTAGCATATGCCACTTGCTAAATAAGAAAGATATTTTTTCCAAGCAGAACAAATGTAACTGCCTTATTCCAGAATAAGATAATTGCCTGTATAAAGTGATTATATATTATTTTGTTTAAGAAAGACACCCTAGGTTATAAATAAATATTTATCCTTTAAGAATAGACGGTTTGTTATGCTTTGCTTAATGTTCAGATACCAACTTGCAAGTGTTAACATAGTCCTATTTTAAGTCTAATGCTGTACTGTCACCACATTCTTCAATAATAACTTTCTTTAAAACATGTTGTGAAGCTTTACTTATAAAAAGCCATAATAAAGTGGTGCCATGATTGTTTTTTTCTCCTCAATTCTAATATAAAAAGCTGCCTTTGTTGTTACTCCATTACTGCAGCCCTGCACAAAAGAAAAACACAGATAAAGTTTGAAAATTCTTGGTTGAGGAGCCTAGGAGTGTCATAAATACTGGCATAGTCTAGTATCTGAGTTAGGTGAAATAAAGCTTTTAGCTTTTAACTTCAGTCACAAGCAAAGTTGGACAGTTTGTTACCTCAAACCCAGATTTTTGAAATTTTCAGAGCTAGTTTATCTGACTGCCTACAGCAGTAATCATCTCAGAAATCAGCCTGCAGTGTTAGAAGCTGATTCTGTGCCCTGCACCAGCACTGGGTGCTTTACCACCGTACAGTTCAGGTGGTATTTCCCACTTGTCTCGGGACTACTGCCAGAGATTAATCCTTACTCTAAATCATCAACTTTACAGCTGTACACTCTCCCTACAGCATCCCACAGATATACATTTCGTTCTGCCTACTTCTACTACTATAAACAGTGAATTCAAGTCACGTGAAATGCCTTTCAGTTACTTAATATCAAAAAATAGTATATGAGCGTGTGATGGGTTGCAGAGGTAGAGTCTACTCATTCCACCTCCTGAACTTTCAAGTTCAGGGCTGAGGACACTTCATTTGCTATGGAACCTCGCAGAAATATCCATTATCCTATTTTGGAACACCAACTTTTCAGCAGTGTAGCTTACACCTGAGCCTGTTTTCTAAAGCATATTAGAGGCAAATCAACCTCAACTGCCTATGCTTTCAATAATTCAGTACTAGAATTAAATCCCCTGAAATGCAGAAAACTTCACTCAGAGCAGCTTGTACATGGCAGTGCCAGAGCCTCTCTGCCCTGCCACGGTCAGAAGGTGATGTTGTCTCTGCAGTGCTGCCTGTTCCACAGCATTAGGAAGCTCCTGCTGCAGCAGGCACAGCACTGCCCCTGCTGCCCTTGGATGTCACATGTGTCCCTGTAAGCAACAGTCACTAATTACAATAAAGCTCATACTGTTTGTTGTTGTATCACCTTCAGAAGATGGAGAGGGTCCATCAGCAATAGTGGTAGCACACCCAGCACTTGCAACACTTTCCTCAAAAGCCATCTGATACCCTTAGAGTACAGCCCTAAATCATGGGGGTTTTTTTCTTATCATAAGGATTCTGGCAAATTTTATCCTTTGGAGCTAGGATTACTAACTCCATGTTCAGATTCCATGTTATCAGACACATTAGACACATACTTAATAATCCAGCCACAAGTTGAGGATTGCAAAAGGAAAAGCAGTTTTACTTAGTTTTCAACAGGTGCCACTAAACATGGAAAACAAGTTGGGTTTTCATGTTTTGCAATGCACATGCTCATAAAAAATTAAGTTTAAATTACATGCAAGAGACTAAATCTCTTCACACTTTACAAAACAGGTCTGAAGCAAATTAAATGATTGTACATGACATTTACATTAGAAAGAGTATGCTAACAGTTGTAGCTTCGATCAGCACGTCCACGTTCGTCCCCTTAGCCGAAAGCTGCCCCACAATTAGGGCATCTTCTCTGCCTCAGTGCAAGACAGAACAGAATCCCAATTGGAAAGAATACAATTGCACACAAAACACCAAGACAGGTGAAGGTGTCCTCCAACACGCCAACCCTGTAAAAATGGAAAACAGACTTAGTCAAGAACACCCACTAGGTTTGCCCCGAAGTTACTACTTCATGATCTGACAGTCACTAGAAAACACACCAATTTATATAGCAAGACAGAAGTACAACAAGGGTTTGGGTTGTGTTTTGGATCTGGTTTCCCCCCCTTAATACTTTCATAGCTTGCAGCAGCACGTTTTCAATTATAGCACTTAAAGAAAACTAGGAAACTTGCAGGTGATCAGACTACAGATAAGAAGTCTAAAAGCTTTAATTCAAACTAGCCCTAGCTGTTTAATCCCAGACAGCAACCATTCCCCTGTCACTGCAACCCAGGACTGATGCATAGAACAAAACATGGCCACCACAGCCCTGAGCACTTGGATCACTCCCCGTCCCAGTTAATCCCAGTGTAACGAAGAGCACCCACAAAGAGCATCTCCAGCAGGACCAAATCACTCACACTTCCAATTCAGCAAGCCTTAACATGAAATCCTGTGCCTCTGCAGCCATCTCAGGTTCCTGGAGTCTGAAAGCCACGGCTCTTCTCCTGTATCCTTGCATTACAGTGCAGTAACCCCCCCCCAGGAATAAAAGATCACACATTCAGGATGGAGACTGTAAGCAAGTATCAAACTTCACTCCTTGCTAGCCCTTTCTGGCATCAAGTACAGTCTCCTAGAACTAAACCATAGTGTCACTGAAGTTTACTCATAAAAATGAAAAGAAGCCTGCTTTTAAAATAATGTACTGACTCTTCTGGGATGATGCAGAGCTAAAGATTTAGCTGTATCAGTGTTGTTATACTGGTTACCACACACCAAATAACTCCATCTCTCAGCTTTTTAGGTCTCTTACAACAGGCAGCAGTCACACTTGTGTCATATGCTTTGCCTACCTCGTCTCCACAGTTATCCTGGTGTGAACCCTCTCAGTTCATCCAGCCACAAGTCTCCCACAGCACGTGTGTGCTAGGGCTCTCCTTCAGAAAAAAATAATCCCCATTTTCTGAATGTTTTGATGACTTGGTGCTTCTCAACATCTTCCAAAGAGAGAGGTTTGAATGGGCAGAGAAGTTGTGTAATGCTGGTTACAGGCTTCTGGTGAAAGGTCCAGCTCATGCCCTCACTTAGCAAGTTAAGCCACTGCAGGCACCAAGATGCAAATAGGTTTGTTTCAGTCTGTTACTTCAAATTAATACACAGCTTGGCCATGTCTGGTTCCTGCAGTTGCCAGGACAAGCTCTCAGATGTGTTGGCTTTTCTCTCTTCAGAGAGCACAGGTCAATATAGTTAGCAGGCAGAGAGCTAGGTGCACTGGGCATTTATGGCTCCAAGCAATTTAACAGGATAAGGAAGATGTTGAAGAATTTTAACTGTAGATTTACAGTGAAAGAGTACTTCCAACACCAGCATTCCATTGTGGAAGGTGCCAGTTCAGTTAAGTGTGTAGAAGACTATGCCAACTACTCAGTCAGACTTCCTAAGTCACCAGAGCAGCTCAGAAGTGCAGCACTACTGTCATAAGCTCTTTAACAAGTTTATTTCTGGTAGCTAGAAAAGTCCAAAGGCCAAACATGCATCACTATTAAAATAACCATCAGTGGGTGTTCCCAGTTTCTACTTCCAAAAACTGATGTCCCTTTAGAACTGTGGGAGAACCTACTACTGATGTAATTTGGCTCCAGCTGAGTCCAGACTGAATGACCACCCTGCATGAGAAATTCTGTTTCAGCACAGTTCTGTGACAGCAGAGATTCAGTCCAACTTCTTTCTGAAATGCTGTACCTAAACATCCCCCAAAATGAAGACTAACAGTAAAGCCTGAGTATTCAGAGTTAAATTTGAGCAGCTATATACTATGTAGTCAAAATTTGGAGATTAGCAAAAACACTTGAACAAGGTATGCCCTCTTAGATTCCCTGGTGCAGTGAAAGTCAACAGAAACAAGGCTCAGTGGCCTTGGAGTACATGCTGCAAGCAAAGTGCCAAGGCCCAGAAGCTGCTGTTTCCTGCAGAGCAGTCACAGCTACTGTACGTGTGCACAGAGCGACAGAAGGAAGATGCAGACCCAGAGACCATTTCCTCACTGTGGCTGGCTAAGACATGACACCTTAATGAAACTTAAGGACCATTCCACTTCCTCTCAACCATGAGAAGAAGCCAAAGGCTTTTCAAAGCCTTTGATATTCTGCTGCTTACACAACTTTATGTTCAGCTTTCAACATCAGTCCCCTCCTTTTGATGAGCTAACTTTGTTTCTTTTTACAGTTCTTCTGACAGAAGTCAATTCTGTATTTGGGGTAATGATACTGTCAGGGTGCAGTTGATCCCAGCAGTAGCTTTTTTAATTTCATACCCTCAAATAACACTCCTCTAAGATAACAAGTTAAAAAATATACACTAATGTTCAAACAACCAACAGATCCTATTCTCAGCACACAAGTGTCCCAAAGCTGATTTTTGTAGCCTGTGCTGTTCCTTGTGGCTGTTCCCACGAGCTCAGCGTATCATCACTCCTCTGTTCCTTTTAAGTCAGGCCTGTGGGCTGCCAAAGCTCCATCTGCCAGTGCAAGCACTTTATTTTGCCACACCAGCGTAAGACTACTTTTGAACCCTGACATCTGTGTGTTCAGAGAAGTAAGAACAAGGAGAGACCATCTCTGCAGAAG